AATCAATCAATCTTTATTGTACGGTCATTTATTGCTGCTTTTTCTTTATACCCTTTATTGATCATTTAATTTTGCTTCTTAATTTATGTTACCCTTCTTAATGACTGCAGCATGTATCTTTTTCTTTTCCTGACAAATTCTAATAAAAGGCTGTGTTTTTTAAAATGATATGGACCACATGTTCTATAGCTAAATCATACATTAAAAACATGTGGCACGTTTGTAGCGTTTGATGTCAAAAATTTTCTGGTTCAATAAACATGAGAGCCCTACTTTGTTTGGAATTTTTTTAAATGCAGATTCTGAGAGGCCCAACTTATCATATAATAGGAACTGAAGGATACCATAGGTATTTGCCCCCAGAAATACAGCCTCTTTGATACGTCTGTGTTGTATCATCCTGGCGGCATTTTATAGCCTTCCAAGATGTTGGGAGTTCTGATAATCAAAGTGATCAATATGGGTTGATCAAAGAGGAAGGAAGGAAGGAAGGAAGGAAGGAAGGAAGGAAGGAAGGAAGACAAGCAGTGGTAGCTCTTTGGAAGGAAGGAAGGAAGGAAGGAAGGAAGGAAGGAAGGAGTCATTTCAATAGTTAGACAGACAGACAGATATTCTGTGACACTGAATGAACTACAGCAGTCACTGGGACATCTACAAGGTTAAGCAGAGACAGGATATATTTGTTGTTGTTTTGCATTAAAACTCACCAGTTCTGGTTGTCCAGCTTTGGGCAATCTGAAAAGCATACATTTCCCATCTCTGGGATTAAGGATAGTCAAGCCCCTTACAGTCTCATTTTGTCATATGGAGAAAGAAGACAACCAAGTATTTGTGTAGAGGTTAGTAGTTAAGGCGAGAAGAGTGCCAACTGGCCCTCATTAAAATAGCAAATTAATACCGTATTTTTCCATGTATAAGACTATACTTTTGTCTAAACTCTTTAGACTAACAATTGAAGGTTGTCTTATACACGGAAGTAAGCTGATGAGAGAGAAAAAACAAGTGGAGGGGGAAGCAGGGATCAAAGTGATCCTGCTTTGCTTTGATCCCTTCCCCCTACACTTGCTAAGCCCCACTTAGATTTCTTAATTTGGGGTTAGAAAAGTGGGGGGTGTCTTATACATGGGGGTGTCTTATACATGGAAAAATATGGTAAATAAATCTTATGTTCAGAGCCCTTCAGGATCCCATAGTCCTCATCCCTGCCACTTAATACTACCCCTAAGTTGGGTAAAAGATAACAGGCATGAATAAGGCTGGTGATTGCTCATGGAGCCAAAGATGGGTAAATACTCAACTGTCTTTGATGAAAGCAAAGACACAGAAAATTCTGGGACCACAGTGTCTCCAGCCCATCCTTTCACGTGGGACCACAAAGTTGGCTCTTTAGTGGAACAAGGCAAGTTTTTTCATTTAGTGGATAAAGGGTGTGTCTTCACTTTAGTTTGCCTTGTTTGTTCACTGCTGACCTACCTACCTGCCTGCCTGCCTGCCTGCCTGCCTGCCTGCCTGCCTGCCTGCCTGCCTGCCTGCCTGCCTGCCTGCCTGCCTGCCTGCCTGCCTGCCTGCCTGCCTGCCTGCCTGCCTGCCTGCCTGCCTGCCTGCCTGCCTGCCTGCCTGCCTGCCTGCCTGCCTGCCTGCCTGCCTGCCTGCCTGCCTGCCTGCCTGCCTGCCTGCCTGCCTGCCTGCCTGATGTTTGGACTATAATTTCCAGACTCTCCCATGTTATTTATGAATTCTGACACTTTTGCAGAAGTATATCTAAGTCCTGCATGTATATGTATGTGCATGGGGCAGGGGAGGGACCCTGTAGAGGAAAAAGCTTCAGTCTATTACTCTCTCACAGTCATGCCATGGATTCTGTCACACATGCCAAGGAATGCTGAGCAATATCAGTTCACACCTGTAGCTTCAACTTTTCTAAGACGCTCACCCTTTTCAAGTGTAAGGCCCAGAGGATACACCAATGTTCAGAGGAACTAAGCAGTGAGAACCAAAATGGAGGTGTCACTTATGAAGTTTGGTGGCTTTCAGAAATCAATTATCTTCTTGAGCAGTTTCCAAACCTAGTATCTTGCTTTTTAGAGATGGTCTGTAGCCATGGAATGGTTATTTGAACATATTCCCTGTTTAACGCCTACAGTCACATGGGTAAGCAATCTCACTTGTTGCCTGTCACTGCTTAAGTGGCTAAATCCAGTGTTACCCCCCTGCTGCAGCTATATTAATATTAACTGCCTTCCTCTACTGGAGTATTAGAATAAATTATTGACTGATTTGATTTTTATACCGCCCATCTGACAGCCAAGGCCACTCTGGGCGGTTTACAACAATATAAACAATATAAATTATCCAAGTATTAAGGGATTCAGTCTTTCTGTGTTGGTGCTTCAATGTTCAGTCAACTTGATTGGAGTGCTAAACATGCTATTAGGCCTCTGACTTTGGAAAATTAGTAATCCCTGAGGTTCGTATTTCCTAAAATTTCTCCTGGTTCATTCTAATGGACAGGTAGCCATAGGCAAAACAAGCAAAAGAAATCCATGAGGGGCAGCCCCATATTGTTTTAAGGTTAAGGAGATGGAGGGAAAACCCCTCAGAGAGTCAAAGGTCATTCTCCACCTCAATCTGAGCTCAAGATTTGTGTGCAGGAAAGTATACAAGATGTGCACAAGATGGGGGAACATTGTATTCCCTCAAAGAAATAGGTTGGTGTAAACAAGAAGTCGAGAACATCTTTTTCCTCCAAGCGATTGTGCTTCTCTTTCATACATGTCCTCTGTATGCAGAGCAGGGTCCAATTGGCAAGCAAAGTGAATGACCATGAACAAGTGAAGAAAGAAAGGCTGGGGCTCAATCAGCTGGGGAAAGAAATTGGTAGCAATGTATATTGCATGCCTTTTGGAAACTGGTTCTTTGGGTACGCACCTTTTTTTAGCTGTCATGCACCACTAGTTGTATAAACTAGAGTAAAAAGGTCAGTGTGTTTGGGAACTTCTTAAAGGAACACTTTGAGATAATACTGGAATCATTTTGTTCTGTGAGTGAGCAGGTAAGTACTTACCATGGAATTACAGGATACAAAAACAAACATTCTCTTATGGTTGTTGTGGGTTTTTCGGGCTCTTTGGCTGTGTTCTGAAGGTTGTTCTTCCTGACGTTTCGCCAGTCTCTGTGGCCAGTCCTCTGAAGATGCCGGCCACAGAGACTGGCAAAACGTCAGGAAGAACAACCTTCAGAACACAGCCAAAGAGCCCAAAAAACCCACAACAACCATCAGATCCCGGCCGTGAAAGCCTTCAAGAAAACATTCTCTTATACCCACCGGTGTAACACAATTTGCATAAAACCTATTGGTGAATTTCTGCAAGTTAAGAAGCTAGAGTAGGCGTTATTACTCTAGCTGTTGCTGTTGTGCCTCGAGCTGTGAAATGCCGTACATACTATAACAGCAAATACATTGTGACAACTTTGTGGCTTATAACAATTTGCTAGTAAGGTTTGCACCCAATGCATTATGCCAGTGTAATGCCACCTTAAACTCCCAGTGTGGTTTTGGATGCTAGATTTGCTAGAGTGTTTTGAAAGAGTGATGCAGCTTCATCAGTGAAACCAAGTAGTTCTGCTCTTAATCAATGTCTGTGGATGCTGATCTCAGTGACTTAGAGGAAAAGTAGATGCTACATGCATGGGGACTGGGGTGGGCAATAAAAGAAGATACTCCTATGATCAAGCTGACAAAAAGGGACTAGATGATCCTTCCATTAAGAGGCTTTGTAGCTGGTTGATGTCCCTTACCCAAAGAGTGTTAGCCAGTGGTTCCTCATCATCCTGAAGATATGAGGCTAGTGGAGTGCTACAGCATCCTTTCCTACATCTGGTGTTGTTGAATATTTTCATAAGCTATTTGTATGTTTTTAAGGGGGTGCTCATTAAATTTGCAGAATACACTAAAATGGGGGTGGATGGGGCTAGCCAGTATGAAGAATACAGAAAGATTTTAAGAGACTGGAGAAACAGGCCAAAATGAAGAAACTCACTTCCAACAGGGAAAAATGTAAAATTCTACATTTAGGCAGGAAAAAGTCAGATGCAGAAATCTAGGATGATAGTCAGTTGTCTTGACAGTATTGCATATAAAAAGTATCTAGGGTCCTAGTAGATCACAACAGAGCGATGTAGCAGTTAAAAAGGCTAACATGATATTCAGCTGCATCAATAAAAGTACAGTACAAGAAAAGTAACAATATCACTCCGTTTTGCAATTTTGAAGCCAGAATTTAAGAAGCATGTTGTGTATCTATGAGGTTGACAAGAATGATCAAGGGTTTGGAAACCAAGTCCTGTGAGGAATGGTTGAAAAAGTAGGGCATGTTTAGTTTGGTGAAGAGAAGGCTGAGAAGGATATGATTGGTATTCTGAAATATTTGAAGGACTGTTTTGTGGGGAAGATGGAGTGAGCTTGTTCTCTATAACTCTAGAGGAAAGGATCTGAAATAACAGATTTAAATTACAGGAAATGAGGTTTAGGAATGACTTAACAGTGAGAGCTGTTGGACAATGGCATGGACTGGCTTATAAGATGAAAACATTCTCCAACGCTGGAAAGTTCAAACAGAAATTGGAGGACCACCTGTCAAAGATACTTTAAGTAGGCATTTCTAGCGATGGGCTAGACCCAGTGGTCCCTGTGGTCCATTCCAGCCCTCACCTTCTGTGATTAACCTTGGATTTAGCCCATAGCTAGGAAATCTTTGCGGCACTCTGAATCTTTGGAGCATCCTTTATCCACATGTTAAGCTTAGTAACGGTGTCCCTGTGCCCCTATGCCATCATCATCACCCCATTCATTCTCCCGCTTTTCATCTTTGGTCACTGCACCAGCTTCTACAAATCACTGCACAGCTTGGCCATTTTTAGCGAATAACAACGGGACGTATTTATATCCTTGGCTTCTCCTCCTCCTCCCTCCCCCTCCTTCCCTTTGTTTTTCCCTCCAGGGGAAGTCACTGGCAGGCAAGCGCCTCACAGGCTTGATGCAATCTTCTTGACAGCGTGGTCTCCGGCAAGCAGTTGCTGACATCTCCGAAGGACAGCTGCACTCGACCTCTTCCACCTCCACCTCCTCCTCCTCCTCCTCCTTTGCGAAGGAAATATCATTTGGGGGCAAAATGGGTCGTTGTGTGTTATGTGGGTGTACGAATGCAAGAGCACGGAGACAAGGTCGGAAGCACAGGGTCAGAGAAGGGAAGGCGAGATGGAGGGTCTGGCCCTCTGGAGGTTCCTCTTTTCATAGTTTACATCAACACTTTTCTTACTTGTACAGCTTTGTAATGGCACTGAGTACTATGAAAAGAATACTCTGTTTCTCCTTTGACTTGTTGTGTATAGGATTCTTGCAGAATCCAAGATGGGCTGTAAGTATTACTTAATGTTGGCGTCCTAAGGGAAATCTAGGTCAAGAACTGCTGGTTGAGATCAGTATTCATAATGCAGGCACTTTCTCATATTCCTAGTTGCTGCCGCTGCTACTGCTGCTGCATGTCAACAGACACCAGTGTCCATCTTCCACTTCTCTCACTCGTACTGGCTGGCCTTTCTTCTGCCTAGCTATGATTAATGGGGAACGGATTCGACAGTAACACCTAAGATTTGGCATCCTTCCCAAAACCTGGAAAGTCCCTTCTATATGAAAGAATAGCATATCTTTTTTTAAAAAAAAAATGGTACCATGCTAGATCAGAAATGCAGAAGTATGTCAGGAAGGAAGGCTCAAGGTGATGGGAGAAAGCATTCAAAATATCGTAGAGAACTCCTATGGATACTGCTACACATGCCCCACTGATCCCTTTTGTTGCAGCATCTAAGGGGCCAATAAAATAATCTAACACTTCTTACAGTAGAGAGAGAAGAGGAAAATTCCTACCATGATGAGATAATTGGCATAATTTCCTTCACTTTTTGAAAACTGTTCTCAAATATACTTTGCTTTTTCCTAATCATCCATTGTCAGTAATATTTGTCAAAGAAGAAAGTATGTTGGAAGCTTCAGTGGAAGGGACCAACCCAGCAGCTAAGTCACCTAAGGATCTGGTCCATAGAGGCACACATTTAAGCTGCCTGGTCTCAGTAGAGTTGCTTTGCATCTAATCGTCATCACCATCACCATGCGCCGTCAATTCTGATTTATAGTGACCCCTTTCAGGGCTTTCCAGGTACAGTGTGCTCAGAAGTGGTTTAGCATTCCCTTCTTCTGGGGTTACCCCAGGACTCTGAAGCTTGCCCAGGGTTGCATAGGCTGCCTTTACTCGGAAGAGGCACAATGGGGAATTGAACTCCCAAACTCTGGCTCCTCAGCTAGATAACCTAAACTGCTGAGCTATCCATGTGCACATGTTAAAAAAATTGGCCCTGCTTATCAGGTAATATTGTGAAAATGCTGCACTAGAGTTGCACACTATCTGTGTTGCCCAACCATGTATGGTGGCCTCAGCTGGGCAAGTGTTTGGCTGTCCCTCTCCCTGCTTACAGCTCCAGGAAAACAGTAGGCACAGAAGGCTACTAGGCTTCTCACTCAGAAGGCAGGTGCCGTCCACGGCTGTTCGGGGTGGGCTGCCTTCAGCTAGTTGTTTGACAAATTGCACAGGTTAGCTTTATACACACGCAAAAGTTAGGAAACATCACCACATTTGAAAAGTGACACTGAGTTAGGGGAGGAGGGTTTTGCTTTCTTATGTGTTTGCACCTTTTTCATATTCCTTTTCTCATTATAGTTATGCCACAGTTAAGTCAAACAGAGTAAACTGAATCGATTGAAAAATGGAGGTATTTCCTGCTCTTCATAACACAGGAAGTTGAGATGAGAGGTATTTTGTGCTGGCAAAATCTCTGTGGGGCTCTTTGAGATACAGTTGTCTCGGAATGAATTGGCTGGCTGAGAGAGGAGAAAAAGGAAACACCCAAACATTTTAAAAGAGTCTAAAAAGATTTGGTAGCATGATTTCTTCTGTAATGTCATGATAGCTGAGAAACCTTTTCCACAACATGGCAATAAAATGAGGTTTGGCTGAAACTTTGTCTGCTAGCTCAGCGAGGAGGGGGACATAATCCCAGTGCTTCCTCAAAATTGTTTTTCCAGCGGTAAGAACTAAGAAATGGGAACATAGCACAGAAAGAACTGGTGGTGGTGATAAAGAGTTCGTTGCTTGCAACACCAAAAGATTTTGTAGTAAAACTAGCCATCTGGCAACAAGGACAAAGTAGTCTGTTCCAGAGCATAAAAAGCTTCATTGTCCAGATTACAACTCCTAGCAATCCCAAATCTGGGGCATTATGGGAGTTGTAGTCCAAAAAAAGTGGAAGTTTTCACATTCTACTCTATTATTTGCTATCATGATGATGGACCTGCCCTTCCTTGGCTGGCACTCTTTAAAGGAGTTGACTGCACTGACTGGGAACGATGGGAGTAGCATGCCAGCACATTGGAAGGGTACCAAGACTACAGGGAGACAAGCATAAATAAAAGAAGTTCAGTTTCCCAAAAGTAATTTACCGTCATTGAAATGGATTAACCAATGCTGATATGTTTGTATTTAAGAGAGTTGACCTTTTTCGGATGATATATACAGAAAAGGAGGTCTCGCTTGAATTGTACACGCAGCTTCTTCTGCCTTAAAAATTACAGGGGAACACTTTTAGCAATGTCTGTGTCATGGAAGGACTAATCTTCCTTGTCCAACACTCTGTGTAACTCTGTTCTGCCATCATTGTCTTGTACAACAGGACAAAGTCAATAATTTTCTCTCAGATGCCGAGTAGGATTTCTCAATCCCCTCTCCTTAGAACTAATTGGGGAAAATTAGTGCTGTGCTTTATAGATATCCAAAATAGGTGCTTCCCACATGACAGAGGAACAACGGGAAGTCTTTAGACAGATATGTCCCTGGAAGTCAAGACAATATGCATGGGGTTCCCAACTAGCCAATGAGCAGATGTAAGTAGCTACTTCACATGCCCAAAAACTGCCATCCGACCGGTGTCCTATTTTGCTCTTCTTGGCTAGCGCAGTATAGACTGTCAAGCTTTGCTATGCCTACTGTTACTGGCCAATGTCTGCTGTTGTGCTTTATGGGCAAATCCTGCAATTATTTGATCTATTAATGTGAAATAACAAAGTTTTCTATGGTATGTTCACAAGCTCTGGCCACCAAAGTTGGTGATAGGAAAATTGTGACTGTACACACTCACAAAGAGTGGGTTTCAAAGGGGCCAGGCAATGTTCCAGCAGAACTCAAGGCAAGCCCTGCGTAGCATTCTCCTACTCACAAGTAGGACTAAAAGGGAAACAGGCACATAATTCTGCACATAGCGCCCCCCACAGACATCAGGTATCTCTGTGTCTCCCCAACACCATTGCATAAAGGACCACAGAGAACTTTGTAACTGTGTTTAAATGGACTTTCAGACCTCTGGAGATCAGGTCTGCCATCCACAGGAGCTCTGTGGTCATTGTGAACCACAGGCTGTTACAGAGTACTGAACAGACCTTCGTGTTTCATGTGTGAAGATGTAGCATACTTCCAAGGATATTGGATATGGGGGGAAAGGGCTTCCACGCATTAGCATGTTCCCACTTCCACTGTTAGGCAAGCTATGAGAGTATTCTTCTAAAACTATGCAAGATAGGAAGGATAGTAAACAGCCCTATTCTTCAGCTAAATGGAGCAAAGCCTTTAATGTGGAAGTGTGTTCAGGTTTGTGTTTTCAGAGTGCAACTCCCAGAATTCCCCAGGCAGGCTAGCCGTTCTGCCTCATGAATTATGGGAGTAGTAGTTCCAAAGAACCCCACTAATGCCAAGTACTGTAGTTCTGCTTTCTCAAAATGAATTTGCAAATATGTTTCCTTGGTCCCATCTGTACTCTATACAAAGTGGTCTGAGGGCTACATTATAGCATTCAGTAAAGCAATGCTTTTGTGGTGAATCATTTGTAGAAACCACCAAGCAGTAGCTGTCAATCAGAAAGTTTTGATATAAAAAAAAAAGATTAATGTTCTACTGTGTTTGCATTAAAGGCCACTTGCCAATAAATGTAGCCTAGATGAATTTGGGGGTCCCCCGCTAAGGCAGAACATCTGCTGGAACCTAGCAAAAGCTAATGAATCTAATTAAAATGGTGGGATATTTAATTGGCATAACATTCCGTCTAAAGCAAAAGTCACAATGAATTGGTCCATTGATTTGTCCAGTGGGGGAGCAGCATTCATAACATAGGCCCAGCCCTGCCATTAGGCAAAGTGAGGTGTTCTTTCAGGGGGCAAGATGCTGAGGCTTGGATAACAGTGGGAGAGTTTGGAGGGCAAAGTTGTGTGTGTCACATGGCCAGCCCTACCTGCATTACCTGTCTTGTCTTTAGGTGCAGTGGAGCACATGGTCCTCCCACCATTGTTGGAACGTAGACTTAACTACCAATCTCATCAGCTTCTGTTCATGGATGAGGGTGCCCTTTTGCCTTAGCAAAATGTCATTCCTAAATCTCTGTCATAGTTATTCAACTAGAACTCAACAGAATCTTCTAATATATATCTGGGTTGTCAAGTATCATAAAATGCTATGAGATACTCAGTGGAGCCATGGTGTTAAGGTGCCCATATGATGGTTACCTGGTTGATAAGCTTCCCAATAAACCTAGTAGTAATGAAATACAAGAGACAACAGAAAAGTTCTGTGTTGTGATAAAACGCCAGCAGTAACCATGACATTTCATGTAATAGGCAGTTTTTCAGAAGATGACTGTCCCAAGAAACTTAGCAGCAGCAATAAAATACTAGGAATTGGATAAAGTACTTTGTTCTGGTGGCACATGGTGAGCAACTTAACCAATTCCATGTGTTTTCTCCTCTGCCGGACATGAGAACAACTATGTTATTCCTAATAAGAGGAAAGCCAGATAGTTTGACTCACACAGTGGATACTGAGCTATCAGATCCCATCATTTTTTCAGAGCAACTTGGGTCCTCTAGTCCTGCTAGCACTCCCTTGAGTACATGATTCTAGGTTATCTTTCTGCTGGATCCTCCTGTCTCTCCATTGCTTCTAATTTCAGTTTGTTCTTAATAGCCTCATGGATAAGGTCTGACACGTTTATCGCTTCCCTGTGATACACACTGACAGACTAGAGGACAAATGAACAGCAAATAGGAATGAACAGAAAGAAAGAGAAAAATGTATATGATCATTAGGAAGCTATCCTTAGAGTTATTCTTTTTAACTGGAATTTGTCACCCTCTAGATGTTGGGGGCACCCGTTTTCATCAGCTGCATCCTCAAATGTGAGGGATCAGAGGAGTAACATCTAGATGGTAACTCTTGATCTTCAGGGCAAATATCAACACAAAGGCACTGTGGCATTTGGATAAAGGGTAAAGTAACACACTAGTGGCCCAAAGATGATTTGTGCAAGGGGGGAGTGTCATCTCATTATGGAATGGCATGACATTGCATGGAATAGGTCACTGTTGCAGAATATGATATAGAGCAGTCAAAATTCTGCAGGTATTCTGATTTTGGAGTAAGATCACACTCAACACACACAATATACACCAGGGTACCTGGGATTATCAGTCTCATGGGATGCTGCACAGGACAGATATAAAACTGAGTTTGTGCCAGGAGGAGATATTAAGTATGGGTCAGTTTCAATTTCCACAAAAATTGACGTTTGTAAAGGTGGATATTTGTTTTTCTTATTCTGCAAAAAAAATGGGGGATAGACATCCCCACTGGGCCCCATCACCATTCTGCTTGAAGGTCTGAGCAGTTTCTTCAAGTAAGTCCTCACAGGGCATTTGCACAGTCTTATCAATGGCTGGGCATTTGTATATTTTTAAGACTACAACTCCCAGCCCCCTCCCTGCCAGCATGACATGTGGGATTCTGGGCACTGCATTTTTTAAAAGTACCTTTTCCATGCTTTGACTCTTTTCAGCTGAGGCTGTTGCACAGAGGTGAGGAACATTTTGGACTTGAACTCCGCTGGTAACCAGTGGCCAGGAATGATGGGAGTTGTAGTAGAAGAGAAATCTTGTGAGCCAAACATCCCTCATCCCCTAGTACAGATCTTCCTATGCCTTTCTGGCCTGGCAGAGTTCACTCTCTTTCTTCTCCCTGTTCCTCTGCACAGCATTGTATAACTCTTCTCTGAGTACTTCTTTCACCACTTCTTCATGAGGACAACTGCTTAGAAATTACCGTCTATCAGCCTCCCAATCATGTGACACAGGAGAAAGCAGTTGATTTTGCCAGTGAGCAATTTTGGCCCTCAGTGAGCTTGGAAATTGGCATGCAATTTACCCTTTGGCTGCTTCAGGCATCAGAGCCTCAGGCCAGCTGGAATGTGCCAAGACGCAGCTGTGCCTCCCACCCAAAGCAACTGGGCAGCATGCCTGCTGCTTTTGGACGGTCGGGGGAATGGAGCAGTGCAGTGATAGAAAGCGCATCTTGAGCATCAGAGCATCTGTGCTCTCCACCTACCTTCTGGAGGTAATTTAGCTCTTAGCTGCATGAATTTGGCATCCTGTTGGTGACAGGCAAAGGAATATAATATTGAAAGGAAAAAACAGAACAACGATGACAAGGCCTTTTATGTAAGCTTCTTCACTGCAAAACATAGTAGGCCTTAAAATGTACTTCTTTAGACCTTTGCAAGCTCAGCCAGGCTTGGCCTCCTGCATTCCAAGTGCCTCCTTCCAAACTGCTGCTGCTTCTCCTGCTGCTGACTCAAAGACAAAGCTTTCTCTGCACATCACCTGGAAAACAGTAAATGGGTGCATCTGTGGGTCCAGCAGTCTGCCTCAGTAGTACAGCAGGTGGGAATGGACCACAGATTTTCATCAAACGTTCCAGTGGCAGATTGCATGAACCCAATCTTAATTCTTCATCATTTGACCCCTTGAGCTGGGTATCCCTTGCCCCACAATGACAATCTGACACAAGGATGGGCAGGGAAGCTGGCGATGGCCAGGGTTCCAAACCAGGGACAGTGTCACCCATAGTGCCTTTCCCCCACCCCCATTTGAAATACAGACGGCTGGTAGTAAGGAATATTTATAGGCAGCAAGCCTACCATCTCTTTTGGGATCATCGTTCTGTAGATGGGACAGAGGCAATGTCTTTCTTTTTTTAAAAAAAGAACATTCTCTGTGTTGTCATGAGAGAGATACTTGCAACAGTAGAAGCCGTCCCTCAGCAGACTTTGGATGTCATCAAATAGCAGCAAATTAGATATTCATGTAAGGTAAAGGTTCCCCTTGACAATTTGTCCAGTCGTGTTCGACTCTAGGTGGTGGTGCTCATCTCCATTTCCAACCCATAGAGCTAACATTTGTCTGAAGATAATCTTCGGTGGTCACGTGGCCAGTGCGACTAGACACGGAATGCTGTTACCTTCCCACTGTGGTGGTACCTATTTATCTACTCGCATTTTGCATGCTTTCAAACCGCTAGATTGGTGGGAGCTGGGACAAGTGATGGGGGCTCTGTCGCGTGGATTCGGTCTTACGACTGCAGGTCTTCATACCTTACAGCACAGAGGCTTCTGCAGTTTAACCTGCAGCGCGACCACGTCCCTAGATATAAATGTACTTATTTGAAATAATTTTTTACTGCCAGGGATAGGGGAAAGGAGCATGTGGAAATGTCTGCATCATGTGCCAGATAGGCTCTGTGCTCCTTCATCCCCCAGTCAAAACCATGAATTGGTTAAGTTTGAGAGAGTAAAGGACTGGTTAAGAATGAGAGAGTGAAAGAAATAAAAGTTTGGATCAGTCTGCACACCTAACATCCAGAGATGCTGAGCAAGTACAATGCTCAAGCTATCAGAAAGAATGGGGTGGGGCTTTGATGAGCGGTGAAATAATTGTATGAGGGTGATAGTAGTATGGGAGGAACTAAGACATTTCTTGAAAGCAACATTTCCCTTTATTAACTTTCAGCTTGCAAGGCACATGACCATACTGGTGCCTCCAGTGATGGTAGGGAATCAAGAGGAACCAGGAGAAGGTCCACTGAGCAAATATCATTTGGGAACCAGTACATTTAGACTTGTGAGATAATTGACAACTTAAAGGCATTTGGATATCTGTTATGATGTTACTACATAGGGATGGCCCCGTATCCTCATTAGGCCCAGGACATGCTCTTGGGATGTGATGCGACTCTCTCATTTCATCTAATGTTTGACTTCTTTTAACAATTCCACCTGGCCCCGTAGCCTTGGCAGCCTTGCTATGCATCCAGTTCTCTTCCTGGTGAGGAAGAGAAGCTTTCTAGAAGCTTGATGTTCTTCAGCCTCCCAGTATACAGGGAGAATCGAGAAAGGTGCCTTGTGATGGGATCCCCCTTGTTGCCTCCTGAAAAGAGAGGTTTATTAAATTTTATTGGACAAGGTGACAATGCCTTATCCCAGATTCAGTCCATTTCTTGTATCATGGAACAGGCTGAGAAGGGGTGTTTGTGCGCAACTTAGAACAGCTTAATGCAGATGATTAGCCTTTATTAGGAATTGCAACATCTCCCCTGCACGTACCATCTACCCATATGTAGATGCTGGACCGTAAAGGGCCACAGAACCTTCCCCTTGATAGCTCTTATTTCTCTGCTCACCTGCTTTATTTCCATAGATATCACCATTGGTTGTCCCATGTAATATCAAAATAGGGTGGCTACCTTGTACATGCAACAGCTTCCACTAGATCTCATGTTAGGAACCCATCTCTGACATCCACAGTTTAACAGAGCTCTTGAAATGTCACAGGCATTGAACCAACCATTACAGCTCTTGAACCTTTTGGCCCAGACAGACGATTGATTACAAGGAAATAGAAACCCTTTGAGTGTCATCTTTAGGCAGTGCCTGATAGCTTGAGCATTGTACTTAAAGTTTCGACTTGCTCAGCATTTTTGGATGTTAGGTGTGCAGACTGACCCAAACTTTTCTTTCCTTTACTCTCTTATTCCAGTCACTATATTTAAGCTGGTGGGTAAGGTAGATGAGGAGGAAAAAACTGGCAACGTAGTCTAAGGTCTCTAGATGTATGTGCAATCTGATGAAGAGCTCTGAGGCCTCCTCTCAATCCTCTCCATCAATGTGGGGAATTATATGTATTGCTGGGGCGCAGTGTGACCTCCAGAGTCAGCCCACACGCAACGTGTCTGTGTTTCTTCCACAGTACACATTATTTGGTACATTCTGCCATCAGCACTTCTAAAGTTACATGTTCAAAGCAATGAATTGCAGTTGCAAATCTACACACACACACACAATACTTAGCATTATAGTGGCATTTTTTAAAAGCAGGGGTGACACTCTCTTTATCAATCTAGAAGCACTGCAGGATTCAAAAGACTTTATAATGTTTTAGTAATGCAGTACTGCAGAGCATAGGGCCCAGAACAAGTTAGCACATGAACCATGTGAAAATCTGACTTTGCCATGCATCATCATCATCATCATCATTAAT